TAAACGGGAAAAGTACGGGGAAAAGTACTCCGGTGTGAACGCGCCTTATGTAACACACTACAGGTAAGGGACAACCCACAAAAGCACAATAGGCCCTCTTAAAGGCACATTTAGAAATTACAGAACATCTATGAGTTCAATCTGTATTCAAAGGACTCCTAGGTAGTGTGAGGACATGACTTATCCCACCTCTCTTATTAAGGCCTAATGAGTGAACCAGAACATCCTTGTTGAGTATTAATAGCACACTTTAGCTCAGGGACAGCAAAGGTTGGAAGTGCTGCAGCTCACCTGACACTGAACTATTAGCTAAAGGTTCATAAACTATGAAACAACAGCCGGACCAACTTTGAGCATTGCCAAAGGCTTGTTCCCTAAGACCCACAAATGACTTGTCACTGTCGAGCCACAGGCGTTATTCAGACCTGTTGAATGGTTGGAAAGATAGTTATAATAAGAAACTGGAAGAACCCAGATGAGCCCTCTTTTTAGGAAAACAGAGTATGCAAAAGTATCTATGAATTATTAAATTTATTTCAGCTCGAAGGACAGGACTGAGAAATATGTTGCAGTGTAGGGAAGCTACTTAAAATACAGCAGACACCATGTACACAATGCTTGGAACTACAGCTGACGTACACCAAGAATAAATGTGTTGCTTGGAAATTAAAGTAGATGTTGGTGCATATTAATGTTTAATTTATTTTGTGCTTTTTCTATACTTCTTCTTTATTGGGTACCAACAGGTTTTTCCTACATAAAACCAAAAAAAAGATTTGATTTGTTCACCAAGACGTGACAATTTTATATAAATATGAAATGCAATTCTTTCTTAACTATCACTAATCAACATCGAGCTATAAAATTCCCGTGCTACAATCAAGGATCAATGAGATCGAGGAGAGGTTTATTCAGTATTTCTGTGACAACCTCTGTTCTGAAATATTAATATCTTTCTCAAACCAAATCCCCATTTTCATAGCAGACGAATAGACTTGTCAAGGACAGATGTGACGTATCCAAATTCTTTCACATCCATTAAATGTGACAACCACGGGATTGTAGGCAAAAAGTAGCTTTCATGCCATGGACGCTTCTCTTTTCATTGAATCGTGGGAAAAGATAATAAATAAAACATTCTCTGGATATTCCTGCAAGGAATCTGGGTGTGACCCTAGATAACAAACTGTCCTTCACTGCAAACATCACTGCCACAACCCGCTGCTGCAGATACACTCTTTACAACATCAGGAGGATACGTCCCCTCCTGACCCAGAAAGCGACGCAACTTCTGGTCCAGGCTCTCGTCACCTCACGCCTAGACTACTGCAACTCCCTCCTGGCTGGTCTACCTGCATGTGCCATCCGACCTCTGCAGCTCATCCAGAATGCAGCGGCTCGTCTGGTCTTCAACCTTCCTACATTCTCCCACACCACGCCGCTCCTCCGCTCCCTTCACTGGCTTCCAGTAACTGCTAGAATCCACTTCAAGACACTGGTACTAGCGTACCATGCTGTGAATGGATCTGGATCTGGCCCTTCCTACATGGTTAAACCATACACCCCAGCACGTGCACTCCGCTCTGCATCGGCCAAACGGCTCGCTGCACCCGCACTGCGAGGGGGACCCAAGTTCCCATCAGCAAAAACACGTGGGTTTGCTATCCTGGCTCCAAAATGGTGGAATGAGCTCCCCATTGACATCAGGACAGCAGAAAGCTTACACATCTTCCGGCGCAGACTGAAAACTCATCTCTTTCGACTCCACTTCGAGCAATACAATTACTAACAAAGCACTTATATACTAACAAAGGACTGGCTTATCTAAAGCCTGTTGAGTAGCACTTGAAATGTTGTGGCTCTATGAAACCTGATGTACTTACATGATTCTATCTTCTTCAAGTTTGTATCTTCTTGGTCGAATGCACTTATTGTAAGTCGCTTTGGATAAAAGCGTCAGCTAAATGTAATGTAATGTAATGTAATATTTTGACTGGCCAAAGCAGGAAAAGCACAGGTGGATTTTTAAAAACAATAACGGCTGCATTCCATTTAGGTGAGCCGGTTCCAGGGCATATTGGCTCACTCTGTCACTTAATGGAAAGGAGCCATCGTTAATGTGATTATTTACAACCGGGCTTTTCCGGCTTTGACAGGCCACATTTCAAAACTAACAAAGAGTTTATAAAATGGAGGATATAAATATAGCATACTATATTAAATGGGGAGTGCTCAGTTGAATGGGGCGGTGGTGGTCCATAGGGACTTGGCTTGGCAACTGGAAGGTCACCAGTTCAAGTCCCGGCAGGACCAAGTGCTACTGAGGTGTCCCTGAGCAAGGCACCGTTCCCTACACTGCTCCCCGGGCACCGTACATCATAATGGCAGCCCACTGCTCCTAACACTAGGATGGGTCAAATGCAGAGAAACCATTTAGTTACATAGTACCTGTGTAATGACAATAAAAGTGCAAAAAAAATAAAAGAAGGTGTGTCCTAATGGCTAAAGTGATTAGAACAATGGGATTGTTCTCTCTTGTAAAGCTTGTTTAGCCGTTTAAACTAGCGTTGGGTGATATCAACCAAATTGGCATATGACTATATCCACAGAGAATTTTCACGATTGATGATGATGATTATTTTCTAAAGGTGTTTTCATTTTTAACTGGTAAAACTGTGAGGATTAACATTAAAAAATGTTTATCGCAAAAACAATGCATTCTACAAGAGAAGTGACATTCTGCTCGTTTTTTAGGTTCATATTTGTATTTTGTGCCTCTACTGTGACTTGTCTCCATGCTTTAATGTTCAAAAAGGTCTTTTTTTTTTCTTCTCATACTGGCCTCTTTTCACCCTCTGTCTGAAACCAGAGCCCAGTCTGCTCTGATTGGTTAGCTGGCCGGCTCTGTTGTGATTGGTCAACTGCTTAGAGATGACTCGCCACTTAGCCTATGCCGTACAATGTGTTGGAGCGTAAATCAATAGAAGCGCAAGTTTTATGCACTGATGTCACTTTGTTCAGGGAGTAAACAAAGGAGTCCAATAGAGTGCCACAGTGACGCGTCCTAAAACCCGGACGCATCACTGGTTTATAGCTCGAAATTGAAGAGACAGATCACGTTTTGTTCAGCCGGATAATATCCACATCCACCACGTCTACCTTACTTTTATAATTTCGATAGATTTATGATCGATAAATTGCATTGGTTTTTGTTGAAGGACCCGGAAGTGGTAAAATGCTAACTTACTTCCGGGTTTTAGGACGCGTCACTGTGGCATTCTATGGAGGCGGTTGAGGCAGTGTGTGGGAGAGAAACTCCCTGTGGAGGGAACACAGGGAGTTTTGCCTTTTTTTGACGACCATTTACATGCACAATAACCTATATAACACACAGGAAAGGGAAAACCCCAAAAAGCACAATAGGGCCTCTTTAAAGTAGAGCACGGCGCTGCTTGTCATTGTTGATGATCGTACTATAACAACTAGATCAATTGACTTCCATTTTCTCATCATTTATCATCTTTCTGCTATCAACCAACTCTCTTCATTTCATTTCATTTCAAACCTTTATTTATCCAGGTTGTATCCCATTGAGATCATTGATCTCTTTTTCAAGGAAGACCTGCTCAAGTAGGTTCCACATGAAACATTAAAAACATAAACAGAACAACAAAAGGACATCATACAGTAGCATTACAGGGATTACAATTTACATACTATCCACATGCACAGGTACCAACAGCTTCCGATTCAGTAGCATCCAACCGAGCTTTAAAAACATTTAGTGGCACCAGATTGCTCAGTTTCCATTTTAATTGCAGACTATTCCAGGACAGTGGAGCTGCGCATCTAAATGCTATCTTCCCTAAGACAGTCCTAGCAGTTGGCACATTTAATAAAACCACAGCATGCGATCTCAGGCAGTAGCCACTTACAATTCGCCGTGAGGTCAGGGAGCAGATGTAGGATGGAAGTTTCCCTAACATGGCTTTATATATAAAAATGTACCAGTGACTGAGCCTCCGTACAGTTAGTGAAGGCAGACCAGCCCTTGCATACAGGGTACAGTGATGGGTTAATGCTTTACAGTTTGTCTCTGCCTATGAAATACACATACGTCCCAGTTTATTCCTCTCCCTTTTCAATAACCTCATTTGCTCATCAGAAGTGTTTTCTCCCAGTGCCATACTTCCTTCATTAGTCCTTGGCCTCCTCTCTTTCTGTCCTCCACCTCCCGGCCCATGATGGGTAACCCCGGGAGACTCTTGTGTTGACCGCATTTCACAGTGAGACCGCGTCAGAGGCTACATTTAGCCTGGTTTCAGCTCATCAGGTCCCCTGTACCAGTTAGCATATAGCTTCACCTTATGGGGAGACACTGACTAATTGATGAAATGTGTATATCCTGTGGAGTGATTTATAGTAGATCGTTTCCCTAAGGTGTTTTCTTTAAAATTGTATAGAGAATGCAGAGCTAAACCTCAAGGACAAATACGCATATTTCTGTCTTTTTGGCCCATGCTGGTTGTTTAAATTTATTTTTAAACGTTGTCTTTTATCGATTATTTAATTTGTTATTAAACCTTTATATTTTCTGTACTTATTAACTTGTTCTGTCATGTTGCACGAATATGCTGAGCACTTTTTATCATTCTGAGCACAATGACAGATACCTATTATTGCTAGGCATGTGAGCAAGTAAACCTAGAAGACTAATTGTATTGAGTCTATTCTTATAATGAGCATTTATGAGTTAAGCTGCAACGCTTTGGCAGGAAATGTGGACCGGCTTGAGGTTCCTGAAAGCATCAACAAATAAAAACGAGTTGACCCAGTAGCTATCTCTGTATTATATTTCCAGTTGAGGCAGTTCAGGCATGGGGAAGTATGTGAGAGATTTTAGTCTTTGCAGATCATTAACATGCACAAAAACTAATAAAAAATAATGTTTATTTGACATGTGTTTGACTCTTTCCCTATCTCTTGTCTTCTATCCGCAGACTGCCTTTTCAAACTGTGTCCTATGAACAGATACTCGGCACAGAAACAGTTCTGGAAAGCGGCGAAACCCGGAGGAAACAGCACCACCGACACTCTCCTCCTCACCAAACTCCACGTAAGGGTCCTCTTCACTTTTACTTTGTCTGCTTTTCGGGTTTTATTATGTTGCAAATAATGGTGTATGGAATAGGCACACAAAGCCTGTAGCCATGTGTTTATGTGAAGTATCATTCTTCCTAGAACAAGTATTGAATGCCCTCAGTTTCCTTGAACATCTTTGTTTCCTGCTCTGTGTTTTAGCATGCTGCTGACCTGGAGAAGAAGCAGAATGAGTCTGAAAACCGCAAGCTGCTGGGAACAGTCATCCAGTATGGAAATGTCATTCAGGTGCGTTCAGGAACCAATGAGATAAGGTGCTTCGGAGCAACCTTTTGAGCACTTTAAATGACACGGAATATAATTCAGTTGTAATCATGTTTAAATAACTGCTACAGCACAAAGGCTTGCTTCAAAGTCGTCCGTTGTAATTCCTTATCTCATTGCCCGGGTTTGCACACAGGTATGAGATCATCTGAAACTAGGAACAGTCGTGCATTCCTGCTCAGTGATGCACACGTTAGTGACAATACAAACAGTTCAGGAAGTCACAGTTGCAATCAACTGTCATTCTATTAATACAAATTACAAAGCACCTATTGTTTCCTGGTTTGCCATAGGAAAATATTTTAATCAACAACTCATACACATAGGTGCACTTAAGTGGTCGATGGAACTCGCTTGTTGTCCTAATTTTGACAGACAGGGTCATAACAGTTCCGATATAGTTTTTTTTAATTACAAGTCTGTGGTTCAAATTCAGTAAGTATCTCCTCTCAGTCTGTTAATTGTTCTGAGAAAAGCAAAGGACTGCACCAAATGTTATTTCTTTTACATTTGAAGCTTCTATCAAAGGCTCATAGGGTGTTCTCTTCAGTGCAAACCCCCCCTGTCTCTAACACTATACAACGCTTTGAAGGATTACATTTTGCAGACCATGGGCCTCAAAAATATGCAGAGTTTATATGATTCCAGTCTGGTTGGTGCTAGATCATTTTTTGACAGGGTGGGAACTGTTATAAAGGGGGAGAACTAACAGAGTTCATGAGAAGTATTCAAGGACATTACATTTGAAGGACTTGCATACTTTTGAAAATAAATAAAGATACCAATGAGATCCGGAGATGCATGTTTTCAGTCAAGTGTTCCCTTGTGTGTAGTTGTGCCAGACTGACATATTTTCATCTGATTCCAGCCTCTGATTGTTCCAATGTCTGTATTACGTCATAGTTATCTGTCTTGAAACTATGTTATGCCCCTTTTTTGTTTTGCCAACAGTTGCTGCATTTGAAAAGCAACAAATACCTGACAGTGAATAAGCGCCTACCTGCACTGCTGGAGAAGAATGCCATGAGGGTGACTCTGGACTCGGCGGGAAATGAGGGATCCTGGTTCTACATCCAGCCTTTCTACAAGCTGCGGTCCCTGGGAGACAGTGTGGGTAGAGCGGGGCTTCAGACTAATTACCATCAGTGGGAGAAATTAAGGATCTATTTTTAGACTTTTCACAGGGTTACAAAACAGAAGTCCTCACATGCTGCTTGCAGACAGAATCATTAAGAAGACAATTAGCCCAATCAGAGTTCCAGGTCTTGTGCCTTTTCTTTTGTTTACGTGGAATAAAATCAATGATACCTAAGGTTCTGCTGCATTGAAACAATACATTGTGCCTACAGTGTGTATCTCTTGTGAGTGCAACAATGCTTTAAGAGTCCAGTGCTGAGGTAAGATGGCTAATTTGCTAATTAAGTCAAGCTTTATTAATCCACTTTTGGAAATGCGTCATCTGCTTTCAAACTATCCTAATTATTTAATGAGTAGGGCAGGCAACTCCAGTTTAAACCAACTCCAGTTTTAAGTAAATGGAGAGACAGAGGCCCTATTATGCTTTTTGGAGTTTTCCCTTTCCTTTCGTGTATTATATAGGTGCATGTAAATGGTCTGCAAAGGCTAAAATCACAAAGTTCCATCTGGAGGGAGTTTCTCTCCCATACTGCCCACCCTCCCTGCCTGAAATGCCTTCATTGGATGCCTTTGTTTCCTTCATAACATAATGACATCACTATGTTACACTCCTGCTTTAATTGGCTAGTGCTCAAACACATTGTACATGATAGGCTAAGGGGCGGGACCTCTCAAAGCGGTTGACCAACCTAGCGTGAAAAGGACAATAATAGGGCCCCTTTAAGTTCCAGGCTCTTGTAGAGTTCACTTGAAAGCGTGTGAACTCAGTGGTGTGTGCAAACTGTATATATAAAACTAAATAAGTTTTATACTAAATATAATACCAAAACTTTCTATTTTATTGATTCTTGCTGCTGACATTCCTTTGTGGTTAGTGAGTGATGCTCAAGGTCAGGACTTCAGATCCTGTCCTCTCTCACTCACAGTATGGAGAACGACTCCTCCTAGTGTTGAACTGGAGGCTTGCATGAACCAACGTAACATGGGCCGTTTCTCAATGTCGAGTACACCTGCTGCAGAGCCACTATTTCAAGTATACTACGTCATCGAGTGGCGCCGAATGCTGGGCATTTAACATGCATTTAAACAGTCCTTCGGCGCCACTCGATGACGTAGTATACTTGAAATAGTGGCTCTGCAGCAGGTTTACTCGACATTGAGAAACGGCCCTGGTCTCCCATAGCTGAGTGTTGAGTTCACCTTGTGCAGAAAGGGAATTAAAGAATGATGGCTGGTATCTGGAGATGTGACATACTTTCCTTTTAGAATTTAAGTGAAGTGCTCAATCCCCACAGAGGACCTATTTCGGCAGCAGTATTTTATCTTCAAATGTTCTATTGCCTTTCACTGAATGACTCTTTATTTCTAGATTTTAGACTGTTTCTTAAGAGTAACTGATTCTCTTCGATTGTATTTAATGCATTTAAACTAAAAACTCATGTAAATGTGTTCTGTTTTTAGGTGGTGATTGGAGATAAAGTAGTCCTTAACCCTGTGAATGCGGGTCAGCCTCTTCATGCCAGCAGCCACCAGCTAGTGGACAACACAGGATGCAATGAGGTACATAAGGCCCATACAATACATACTTTTTTTACATTTATAACAGAACATTAACTGTGTTTTTTTTACACACTTCTCTCTTTTGCCTGTCAGGTCAATTCTGTCAATTGCAACACGAGTTGGAAAGTTACTCTCTTCATGAAATGGAGTGACAACAAGGAGACGATACTTAAAGGGGTAAGTTTGTACAACAGCATATACAGTATATTAGATCTATTAAAGAAACACACTCATCCAAAAAATCATCAACATGATCGCAAGAGAATAAAAATGACAATAAAATATTGACATGTGGGATAAATGTAACTTTATCTGCTTCACGCTGTGCTCGTGTGTGTGTTTTTTGTGTGTGTGTGTGTGTGTGTGTGTGTGTCACAGGGCGATGTAGTGCGGTTGTTCCACGCAGAGCAGGAGAAGTTCCTCACTTGTGACGACCACAGGAAGAGCCAGCATGTTTTCCTCAGAACAACCGGCCGTCAGTCTGCCACCTCTGCCACCAGCAGCAAAGCATTGTGGGAAGTGGAGGTAAGCACAACATGTTGTCTGGATAATATTCACTCTGTCTGTTATTGTCCTTTTTATAAACTAGTTTAGTTTTCCTGTGTGACCAATTTTCTATCATTGAGTACATATTATTAATACACAACAACACGGCACAGAACAAATGATAAACAATAACTACAGCAAGCTTGTGTGAAACCAGCAAAAGCAGGCCCTCTCCCAGGACCCACAGACATAGATGTCGTGTGTAAATTTAAAGTCAATACATTTACAACATAGATAGTCCAAATGCTTGAAAATGCATTTGTCTATAAGTTAGAAGATGAATCCAGGTGGATGTCAACCTGGTAAGGGGGAGAAACAACACGACAGGGGGGCTAAGAGCAATACAATACAAATAATTATTCTAAGATTTCACAAATAAAGCAGCATTAGTTTTATTTTGCCTTTTTTAAATGTATTTTTCCAGGTGGTCCACCATGACCCCTGCAGGGGGGGCGCTGGCTACTGGAACAGCCTGTTCAGGTTCAAGCACCTGGCCACAGGCTGTTACATGGCTGCGGAGATGGGTGAGGTGAGTGTCAACTCCTTCACCTTTTTACCTCACACTGACTAATTCTGTATCTATGCATACTTTACAATGTTGTGTCACCTATTATGCAAAATCCACTTTTTCATGTCTCTTCTACATCAACATGTGTCCCCTCTTTTTCATGTCTCTTATACATCAACATGTGTCCCCTCTGTGTAAAGAGACTCTGAAAGTTTCAGGAAAAAAGATTCTCTCTCTTTTTGTCCTGATCCATTTATATAAAAACCTGTCTGAAAATGAGCTGATCAGATTTTGGCCACTTTATGATGTCAGAACGATTTATTGGCTTGTGTAACCATTAGCCAATCAGCAACCCCACCCCCCACCCCCCACCTTATCACCTGAATCTCCTCCTAGAGCACCATTGAGTTCTTTTTAACCAAATATCTCACAGAGGGGCGTGGGGAGGGGCTCCTTATTTTCATCTAAAGTAACAGACAGAGAATCAGCACTTTTGAAACAGGGCTGAAACAGAGGGGATTATGGGATGTTGCAATGATCTGTTTGGTGTTTGGAGCCAAACACTTCAGAGACATGTTTTGTATATATCTGAGACCTATTATATATTGATGAAAAACACTATTATAGGGGACCTTTAAAGTTTGAATCCGCAAAGAACTATGACATGCTTGTACCTAGAGTTTTGTGATGTAGACGTTCAGGTCAATTGGATGCCTGGTTCAGTGACCACATTTTTTATATTTTCTGGAGGGTGTTTGACATGTGAGTGTGTTTTCCAGGTGAATCAGGACTTTGAGGAGGAGAGTGCTGAGCAGCGTTCCTCAGTAAGACTTCATCTCTTCTCCTCTGATCACTTTGTCACGCTGGTTTCCCCACTTCTATCTAATCTGTTCACTTCTGTGCTGCATCTCTGCTCTCTGCTCTAGGTGGTGGACTTTTCACCCTTTAATTTCCAGGTACTGTCATACAATCAGCACAAAAATCATATACTGCACATGTCATAATGTCTTTGCTGCTTTGTTTTCCAATTTCTCTCTCTTTCGCACCCTCAATCATCACAAACTCTTTTATTTGGGCTGTTTTTTCATTTATTTTAGTAGCAGTAGTTCCCCACAGTGTGTCACCAAAGCACCATATCAGCTGATTCAATCAAAATGAATCACCATTAGGGGTCAGGCATGGATCTGTAGTTTTGTGCCAATAAGACCCAAAAGTCAGTAGTAATAATATTTTATTGTTTTGTTTTCAGTAATAAGTCAAGAGTGAGAGCTCAGGCGTGAATTGAGCTGGATAGTAGTACGTTAGAGTGAAAACATGCATTATCTTTGCCCCTTATCAAAGTTGTGGATTGATATGATTTATATATTTTGTGTTTGACTGCTGTTGCTCTCTCTCTCTGTAGCTGGATGCGGATAATGAAGCTTTACGGGGTCGTCTGCGAGCTCCACAGGAGAAGATCATGTACACTCTGGTGCCGGTTCCCGACGGCATGGACATCTCCTCCATCTTTGAGCTGGACCCCACCACTCTGAGAGGAGGGGACTCCATGGTGCCCAGGTACCGTATAGTTAATCACCAACCATTCAGTACACTCCTCTGAAGGGCCTAGGGTCTTTATACATGTAAATATCATTCAGATATCACACAGAGGTAGGACATGACCTAAAGGGATAGTTTGACCGTTTGAAAGCGATCTTGTACTGTAAAGGTGATTGCACCCCCAGTTTAGAAAAGCTGTCAGGAGTGACTTTGTGTGACTTTATGTGTTTTAAAGGGTTAGTTGATTTTCACCAAAGTCAATCAGTAACACCTACACATTAACCAGTCAAGGCAGCATAGTGTAAAGCAATAGACATATTTAAATATAGCATTAATGTACACTTACTTACACTACAGCTATTGATTTTTTTTTTGGGATCTGCCCTTTCGAAGGAGGCTAAAATACATTTGCTGCCAAATCCAGAGCAAAGCATTGCAGTGTAAGGGAGTTTCAACCTCCTTGAGTATGAATAAGTACTTGATACAACCCCTATCTTAGGAAACACAAATTATACTACTCCTTCCTCCACTTACAGTACATCCACATAATTAAAAAAGTGTTGGTTTGTTAATGTAAAATGTATCAGGGCTGTTGAATACCAGTACCAGTGTTCCCACCTTCCGGAGACTGCTAAGAATGGATGGTAAACATGACATCGTGTCTACAAGAGAACCATGTTTCTGCTTTTTAATTGAAAAAATAACACCAGGGATGTTGGAAATAGAAGGAAATGACACATTGTGTTAACAATAAGACCACAGTGATGTCAAGACTACAACAAATGAAAGTGGTGTAGAAAATATCTGACTCAAAGGGGAATTTGGAAGATTACTAAGAAGGCAGTAGTGTCTGAGGGGATGAGGGTTTGTTTGGTTTTGTCTCTATGGACACTTTTTGTATCGTATGTTATTTCTGCGTTTCCAGTTATTTCTTCCGGTCACTTATTGTGTGTTTGGTTAGATCACAGAAAACATGAGAAGACTCTGAAGAGTGTGGTCATAGTTATTGGGTTTATTATTTATGTAGGGATTTAATGTGTATTACTTTTGTGGCTTTACCTTGGGCAGATGTTTGGCTTTCATGCAGACTTTGACCATTAAATTGTCAATTCAGTGTCTTTTATTTCCCCAAAAATGAAAAGCTATAACAAAACAAGTTATAGAAACGTAAAACCAAAGCACTTCTCATCATCTAATATCACCACCTAAAACCTACACCTAGTTACATTCCCACTTAAGATATCAAAGTATATATTGTCTGTGTTTTCACTTATTCGTAAAATACGGCTGTGTTTTTTGCGTGTTGTGCGTCTTTGTGAACATCCAAGTACCGGTCACCTCTGGATGTTTTGATAGTAGCCAAGGAGAGTAAGGAAAGTCCCCAGCATGCAACAGGAAGTCATTGAAATCAATCTGAAAGTAGGCATGGAAAGTGGGCACAAGAGGGAAATCACAACATTTCAAAATGCCATGAAAGATTTTTGTTGCACGTCTGTGCTAAAACTACAAACAAGTGTCTGTAAACAATGCGTATGTGTGTACCCACAAAAAAATCATCTTGCAGTTAAATGTTTGATGAAATATCTGCCCTCTTCTCCCAGCTTAGTTTTGAATTAGTTATACTGAATTATATATTTGACAGAGCAACATTTAACATACTAAAACCTCAGTTTCACTAAGTATGAAAATGATCTGATATTTGATTTCCTTGTGTTAAAAGATGGCTACTATGGATGATTGGTTTGTCCACTGTCTTTACAAATATTTTTGAGTTAGTTATAAAGTTTAGGCTGAAGACTACCTTGTAAAATGGTTAATAAGTACTTGAAAAGCACCTAGAAACAATATTTTGATAGGTAATTAAACGTTTTTGTAATGGTTGTAATTCCTTTCTGTTCTATTTATCTATGTAATGTTCATAGAAGTTGTACAGGGGATTTCCAAAACCATTACAATTCTATTTTTTTAATTATGAACAAACACTTAAAATAGTTTGTAAATGTAATTGTAAAAGGTGCAATAAACTGTTAAATAGTTTACTTATGTAATCATAATGTTATCCTCTTATCAGCTGTGATGCAATATATCATTTTTAAATTCTCTTTTTTTATATACACACATGCAAATTAATTATCTTTTGATGATTTTAGAGCTTAACTCTTAATGAACTATTTACACATTATGGCTATAAAAAGTGCTTTGTCATGATGTGTTTTGTATGATACTTTACACTTGTAAAAAAGCCTCTGTGTTGTTCCTGTTTTTCTTGTTGACAGAATTGTGTGTGTGTGCTTCTAAAACAACAATGGTGCACTTGTCCCTGTCAGTGCGCATCAGATAAAAACAGATGCTCTCTCCTGGCCTCTCGTCAAAGCCTCCTTTGTGTGATGCAGTCAGGTGCGTGTCTGAAACGCCGCGGGCTAACACTGCTAGCTCCTCCCACTCCCACCTGAAATAACCCTGCGCTTCAAAGTTTAGCCATGGGACTAATTAAACCCTCTGAGAACCTGGTACACAAAGGTAAGCCTGTTAGCTTCAGTGGGCGTTTACGTAACGCCTGCCAAGACCACGTCTACTGTCTGCTGTCTGTCCTGAAGGCTCCACACACACACACACACACACACACACACACACACACACACACACACACACACACACACACACACACACACACACACACACACACACACACACACACACACACACACACACACACACACACACACACACCATACTCTTGGCTGAAGAAGCTGTGTCTGACATGGAAGTGTGTTGACAAGTCCAGCTCCTGTGTTACTTCTGAGTATAGAAAGTGATATCGGTACACACTGTACCACCTTATTGTGTTTATTAGATGCACCTGTGTGATGCAATCTGATACATCCTGTTTTTATGATCATAATCTTTTGTTTTCATTGGCACCCTGTCAGAGAGGTGTTGATTTACAGTCATACTAAACGTCATGAAAGGGTGTGTAAGGATTGAACTGTTTTGAAGAGATAGTTTGGATGTTTTGTTGTGGGGTTGTGTGACGTACGTATCCAGTCAGTGTAGGTCAATTCACACTGTGAAGAAAACATGTTCAAACCACCTAAAATAAAAGCCCACCTAAAACAATCAACATGAGTTTAAGTGTACACTATATTTAGATTATGTTCACCGCTTAACTTACCGTCAGACAGCCCTTTCTGACGGGAAGCTGCTATCTCTGCTCTAGATAAAGCTACCAGACCTCAATGATAAAAAAAACTATAATTTACTTTGCAGAACACAGAAGTTGCTGGTCTGCCACGATCGGATAATGTGTTTGTGTTATTGTGCAACTTGGGTTAGATTGAATGCATTTGAACCATGACATGTAACAAGTGACATGTAACCAGAAAGTGAAGACGAAATGCGCATTGTCATGTATCTACCAACTCTTACTGTATGTCTTTGAGGAACTCTATAAATACAATTAATCTTGGCATGACTTGTTGCTGCTGACCTTTGAGACACACACACACCATTTTTTTTGTAAGGTTGTATTGTCATGTTATTGCGCTGTTGTGCCTATATTTGTATTTTTATGTTGCCTGTATGGAGCGGTACAGTAATGAGTCCTTAAACCAGGAAATTAATCAGCTTTTTACCCCTTCCAGTTCCCTCGTCTAGAAGTCCATTTTTTAAACATATTTCTCGTTAGAAGCCTGATATAAGGTCTGTTGTTAATACAAGCTGAAGAGATTTCCACATTTTGTTCTTTGACATAAAATATGTCAGTAAAAACTCAAATCGTAAATGTCCAACACTTTTTTTTATTTTTTATAAAAAACTAAATAAACGACTAAACATCATGACGCCGAACATTAGCCACCTTTTAGCTTAGCGGTGGTGACGCAGCCATGGAACCATGATGTAGTTTATAGTAGGGCTGTGCAATTAATCGTATTTTAATCGTATTTTAATCGCATTTACGATTTTGGCCTGCCACAATTACGAAAACAACATAATCGAAAAAAACGATTATTTTGCTTTGCGAGGTTGTGACTGCACTGCAACATATTTGATCAAATGTTTTTGTATTTATCATATTTATATATGTTTAGTAGCTTGTTGAAGTGCGCTCCAAAATATTTGTTGATCTTGTTTATTGGTATTTATTATTTTGATATTATTTATGTATCATTTATTTTTGTATTGGTTTTTCAGTTGAATTATACGTTCAGGGTAATCAACAGTTAAAAAGATACTGTTCAAATTATTATTTGTATTTAAAAGTTCAATAAATGGATGTTTTCAAAGTCAATGAATAATCGTATTTAATAATCGTGATATCAATTATTGACCAAAATAATCGTGATTATGATTTTTGCCATAATCGCACAGCCCTAGTTTATAGCATAACTAGCTTTTTGTTTCTGCTGATCGCATTTGACTTCAATAATCACACATTTGTGTAAATATGTGGAGCAATATACCAAGCCCTTGCGATGCTAACTTCCAGGTTGCCCTACAAAAATACGTCATCACTGCACCACTCTGTGTAAAAACATGTCTTACTAATGGATGATGTAGATACTGAGTCATACTTGTCAATGCATGTCCAGTAGTAGAAAGTTCAAAGAAGTTCAAAGCAGGTACACTCCTTAAAAGCACACTTTGATATTACGAGTGGCTGTTGAGTGCCTTGCAGCTTCATTTATTTTTAATCATCTTTTCATCATTGTTCCTCTTTCCCTTTTAGGAGCTCCTATGTGAGGCTGAGACACCTGTGCACCAACACGTGGGTCCACAGCACCAACAACCCCATCGACAAAGAGGAAGAGAAGCCTGTTATGTTACGAGTGAGTAGCTGATGACTAGATAAAGATGTTTAGCATGACTGAAAAGATATACCAACACATTTTATTTATTTTTTCAGATTGGAACCTCAGCAGTAAAAGAAGACAAGGAGGCTTTTGCCATCGTACCGGTGCCGCCAGCTGAAGTGCGTGATTTAGACTTTGCCAATGATGCGAGTAAAGTGTTGGCCTCCATCGCTGGGAAGCTCGAAAGGGGCACCATTACACAGAATGAGAGAAGGTAAGTGGGGACGGTTTGTTATGTATGTAGTTGTGAGTATCTAATAAAAAAACACCAAGATATCACTGATGTAGCTGCTCTATATCTCAAAGGATCCCTGTTTTTAAAATGGTCTTGTACTCTTCAGGTTTGTGACCAAGCTCCTGGAGGATCTAGTTTTCTTCGTGGTGGACATCCCCAACAGTGGGCAGGATGTTTTGGAGATCATGGTTAACAAACCCAACAGAGAGAGACAGAAACTCATGAGAGAGCAGAACATCCTGAAGCAGGTTGGTTTTAAACCTCAGACCTAACATTTTAAGATGACAACATTTTTTGGCAATTAAAATTCTCCATTTCCCTTCCAGATTTTCAAACTCCTCCAAGCCCCTTTCACAGACAGTGGCGATGGTCCCATGCTGCGGCTGGAGGAACTCGGAGACCAACGTCACGCTCCGTTCAGACACATTTGCAGGCTCTGCTACAGAGTGTTACGCCATTCCCAGCAGGATTACAGGAAGAACCAGGTTGGTGGTCACAACAACGTCACTCCTGATACTCGGGCCTTCTCTTAGCTGTAACCTGGTTCCTTTTCTTTTCAGGAATACATAGCCAAACAATTCCGCTTCATGCAGAAACAGATAGGATACGATGTGCTGGCAGAAGACACCATCACAGCTCTGCTCCACAACAACAGGAAGCTGCTGGAGAAACACATCACTGCTGCCGAGATAGACACCTTTGTGACTCTAGTGAGGAAGAACCGGGAGCCGAGGTGAGGCTCAAAGGAAGGGAGAGGAACCGTTTGGTGTCATAAAGTGGGATAGGAGCAGTGGGTGTGGGCAGTCTGGGTCAGATTGGTTTGTGTTACAGCTGCTATGTCAATTCATCCACATGTGTGCAGAGGAGTATCAAATCAAATCAAATCAAATCAAGGTTTATTTATAAAGCACATTTAAAAGCGATTTTTGGTCGGGCCAAAGTGCTGTACATGTAATAACTACAATCACATAAAAACACATTTCTATAATCAAAATAAAAGACAATAAATAAAACACAGGGAAAAGTCAGGAGTCGTACTCCGCTCTAACTAGAAGGCCAGAGAGAAGAAGTGTGTTTTTAGTGTAGATTTAAAAAACCCTAGGGTCGGGGCCGACCTCACATGGAGGGGCAGAGTGTTCCAGAGCCTCGGGCCAGCTGCTGCGAAGGCTCGGTGCCCTCGGGTTTTGAGCCTGGTCTTGGGCACTACCAGCAGCAGCTGGTCAGAAGACCTTAAAGCTCTGGCTGGGGTGTAGCGCTGGAGGAGTTCAGCTATATAGGCCGGAGCCAGCCCATTTAGTGCTTTAAAAACAAATAAAAGGAGTTTAAAATAAATTCGGAACCGAATTGGAAGCCAGTGTAGTGAGGCCAGAATTGGGGTGATGTGGTCACGCTTTTTGTGGCCAGTGAGTAGACGTGCAGCTGCGTTCTGGACTAGCTGCAGGCGTTTAATTGCGTTTAATAGTATGAGTGGAACTGCTTGTGCGTGACCTTAGCTAAGTTCAGCTCACTGCTTGTGAAATGTTAAAGTCCTGTTAAAGGAGACCTATCATGCAAAATGCACTTTTTGTTGTATTTTATACATAAATATGTGTCCCCGGTGTGTCAGGGAACTCACGCAGCGTCAGAAAATATAACCCTCTCTCTTTTCCTCCGTACCCAAATCTCTAAAAACGGAGCTGATCCAGATTTGCGTCCGATATGAAGTAATATCGGAAATGTAGGCTGGCACCCACGGCCCTATCAGAAACAATGCCCGACTGTTTTGGACGTAATATGGACGGTGCATGTTTACATTAGCATCGCTAACACTCAGAGCTAACCTGTACTGGAGAGCATGTGTGTGAAGAAGCAGGAAATAAAAAGGAACTCACCTTGTGGTATAACCGGCAAGAGAGAAAACATTTGAGCTCCATACTGTTTCAGAAATAATCCTTGATAATCCATGATATGGCGTTTTATCACCGCAGAATCTGCCGGTACAATCTCCCGCATGAGCTCAGCCCCCTCCTTTTTTATTTTAATCAATCTTTTTTTTTTTGTAAAGCTTTATACCCCAAATCAGCACTTTTGAAACAGGAAGTGAAATGGAGGGATATGAGGCATGGCTAGAATGGGTGATCTGTTTGGTATTTTGAGCAAAACACTTATACACATATATTTTTATATATCTGAGACCTATGCTATTGCCTAAAAATAGCATGATAGGTGACCTTTAAGGGCCGTTGATGAGATCTGAACCAGGCTGACCCAGGAGTCTGGGCCAAAGATGACCTCACATTTAAACTGGACAGAAAGAGTGAGAGACTGAAATGTGACAACAAATGACCACATTACAGACTTTAAATTATCACAAAATGAAAACGTAAGAACTCAAAACATCATAAAAGACAGAAGACGACCAGAAAGAGACACAAACACCATACAAAGTAGGCTTAAATTACTTTAAAGCCTGTATTATAATTGAACAATTGAACATGCATATCTCATAACTCATCCGTTGCCATTGTAAATAAATAATTGAAACATCCAATTTCTTGTAATCTGTTCCCAGGTTTCTGGACTACCTCTCAGATCTCTGCGTGTCCATGCAGAAGTCCATCCCTGTGACACAGGAGCTCATCTGCACCGCTGTGCTGGACCCCTCCAATGCTGACATCCTTATCGAAACAAAGTTAGCTTCTCATTTTTATTCACTGCTAGTTTTACTGCTAATCTGAGATATAACCCACTGGACCTGGACTTTAACACCACACACACACAGACACTCAAATCCAGCACCAGACACTTTTCACGCTGCTATGGACAATCTTGCACTAATGTACATTCTCATACATACATTTGTATATATTGATTGTTGTGCTTTTATTTATTTCTAAATGTGTCATATGTATAAATGTGTCTGTTGATTGTGTGTATATAGGTATATACATATTTTTATATATCTTGTTATTGTATTTGGGATTGTGGGAAACGGTATTTCGATCCCTCTGTCTGTACACTCAAACTGTAAGATTGATAATAAAGTTGACTTTGACTAACACTCACAAACTGCTGTGTTCACCAGGTTGGTCCTGTCGAGGTTTGAGATCGAGCCGGTGGTAAATGGAGAGAGTCCGTTGGAGGCCGAGGATGAGGAGGAGGTCTGGCTGTTCTGGAAAGACAACTGTAAGGAGATCCGGAGTAAGAGCGTCAGGGAGTTAGCTCAGGATGCTAAGGAGGGCCAGAAGGACGACCAGGAGGTGGTCAGCTACTACAGGTGACTTCTTTGATTATGTTCGTATTGCTTTGATTGAAGTGTATGTCAAAGTAAGGTTATATACACCAGTGCAGTACATTTCAAAGTTATTGAAGTGAGACTATAATAAAATGATAATGTGAATTTGGTTGAAATATTAAGAAAATCTTATTTTGAGCTTGACCTAAATATTGCTTATTTCTAAACTTGAATTAAAATTGTAATATTGATGTACAGCGGGGTGTGACATTGACTACAAGTGTACAATTATGAAAAATATAAAAATGTTGACTATTATTGCACTTTCATTTTTTTCAAGTTAACATAATCAGTCCCCCATGGGCTTCAAAACAAAACAACCACATGTCTGATTTAGAAGTGGCAATCATAAACATTTAATGTAATGGTACATAACCAAACCATCATCTTCTGACTTTGTTTTTAGATGTTCAACTCCAAATCATTGCTTTTTGAAAAACACCCCATAGTCACAAAGTAATACTCAATGATATTCACTATGACAATGCTGTCAAATAAACATGCTCTTATAATGACTCTAAACGCTTGCTCCCAGGTGCCAGCTGAACCTCTTCGCCCGGATGTGTCTGGACCGTCAGTACCTGGCCATCAACAAGATCTCGGGTCAGCTGGATGTGGATCTGATCCTGCGCTGCATGTCGGATGAGGATCTTCCCTTCGACCTGCGAGCGTCCTTCTGCCGCCTCATGCTGCACATGCATGTGGACCGAGACCCTCAGGAGCAGGTCACGCCTGTCAAATACGCCCGTCTGTGGTCGGAGATCCCCTCTCAGATTGCTATTGATGAGTGGGTTTTTCAAGATTCAAGGCTTTTATTGTCATGTGTGCAAAGCTACAGTGTAGTTATGACAATGAACGTCTTAGGTCACAGGCTCCTCCAACACTGCAACACAATAAAACAGATAAAGTAAATACAAATAAAATAGAATAGAATAGAAATAGTAAAAGAATAGTCTATATACAAGTAATTGTAATATGATATATTAGATAATTATTTAATTTTTTAAGTTGCAAACAGATGAATGTTATGGATGTTCATCCCGTGAATACTTTAATTAACTTGTAATCCATTCCAAAGACGTCCCAGCACCCTCTAAGATGTTTTTCTCCTCTGATTACCCAGCTACGACAACGATGGGACCACCAGGGATGAGATCAAAGAGCGCTTCTGCCTCACAATGGATTTTGTGGAGAACTACTTGAGGGAGGTGGTGTCACAGAACATCCCCTTCGCCGACAGGGAGAAGAACAAACTAACCTTTGAGGTACTGCCTCCTTTATCGATGGTATAAACACATAAGGCGTCCCACTGGTTTGATTACATAATAAATCTTCGATCTCATCTTGTCCATAGGTAGTGAACCTGGCGAGGAACCTCATATATTTCGGTTTCTACAACTTCAGCGACCTGCTCCGACTGACCAAGATCTTACTGAACATTTTAGACTGCGTTCATGTAAACACCATTTACCCCATCAACAAGATGGAGAAGGGAGAGGAAAACAAAGGTAAACATCCACCTCCTTTAGGCCTTATTCCCTATAGAGGCGAAGTCCCTCCCTTTCCGGGGGAGCTCCATGGGACCTTATTTCGGAAAAATTATGTATTGAAGTCAATAAGGAGAGAAAGATTATCTTTCGATCCCGTTTGAATTGTGCCACGAATTACACATATGATGTTTGCCAATTTAAAAGATAATTTTGCAAGTAAAAAAAAAAAAAAAGTGTCGTAAAACTGTGAAGTAACACTTTTTTTGGTGTGAAACTGCTCAATGAACTACATCTCCCATCTCGCACCACACACCAAGACGGCCGTCACGTTGGCACATTTCACTTCTTTCTTTCAGAATGAGGCGAAAAGTATTAAAAGAGGTGAAAATCACTCCAAGTCTGGGCATGTTGAGAGCTGTACATACACACAAGGGGAGTTAGTCAGTTCGTAAGAGCCAGCATGCGGGACCGGGATTCTGGGATTTGTAGTCCTTCTAGTTGCGTATTTTTCATAGTCTTATATTTCAACAGTTTTACGACAAACTTTTTTGACATGGAAATGATTTTTTAAGATTGGCAAACATCATATGTGTAATTCGTGGCACAATTCAAACGGGATCGAAATATCATCTTTCTCTCCCCATTGACTTCAATACATAATTTTTCCGAAATAAGGTCCCATGGGTCGGAAGTAGATGGGCGTGACTTCGCCTCTCTATCCTGTAAATCAGGGAAGAGTGTTTAATGTTGCATCAACCCACAAAGAAAGTCATTTCTTCAGTTTCTTTCCCTTAGTTTCAGACATGTTACATGTTAATACTGGTGTAATTCTTGTTTGCCAGTAATGTACAGATACAGTACCTGCAAGCAAAATAAAGATAGATCACAATTTACTCTCATACATCAAAGAACAGAATAGTAGTAATATTGTGTTTTTAACAATGGGTTATGGGTTTGTCAGTACAATACTGTTAAATATAGTAATAATGTGTTTAAATACATTTGAAATGTTTAGTCAATTATGCCTTATTTACAAACTAAACACACATAGGTTCAATCCACACAAGTATTCATAATTCTTGTAGATGTAATTGTTATGATTGCTCTGTTTCTGCGTGTGCTGTAGCTGGCAGTAATGTGATGAAGTCCATCCATGGAGTCGGGGAGCTGATGACTCAGGTGGTGCTGCGAGGAGGCGGCTTGTTGCCCGCAACGCCAGCTCATCAGCCGGAGGGAGACGTGGTGAAACCTCAGGTGGAACCAGAGAGAGAGGACATCATGGTCATGGATACCAAGCTCAAAGTCATCGAGATTCTGCAGGTAGGACCTCAGGAAACTGGCTCTTGCTTGACGGCAAACACTTTTGTATGTATAATGCATACTTATACATGACTTGTTTTACTTTTCCTTCAGTTCATTTTGAATGAACGGCTAGACTACAGGATCTCCTGCCTGCTGTGTATATTCAAACGTGAATTTGATGAGAACAACCCACAAGACGCCTCCAACGGCTCCAATAATGTCACAGGTCAGATGCCAGATGAGAAGCAATTACATTTTGTACACCTGCTTTTTCTGCTGTGACAAGTATATATTAGAGCTATTTAACATTCTGTCACATATACATGTTGAAATTGATTTCCTTCAAATATGGATTCTTTGTTTTGTTTGAATGACTCCAGGAAATTTTGACTTTGAGAACATTGAAGAACAGGCCGAGGGGATTTTCGGCGGAAGGTAATCAAAAGCTTCCTAGTCTCTCTCCTGAGTCATTTTGAAATAAGATAAAGCAAGAAAGAGTTTATGTAATCTCTCCTCCTCTGAATTTTTAAGTGAGGAGAACACTCCACTAGATCTGGATGACCACGGAGGTCGTACATTCCTGAGGGTCCTGCTGCACCTGACCATGCACGATTACCCTCCTCTGGTGTCTGGAGCTCTCCACCTGCTCTTCAGACACTTCAGCCAGAGGCAGGAGGTGCTCATGGCCTTCAAACAAGTACGTCTCACACCTACTTTATTTCCATATCTGTCTGTTCTAATGACTGATAATTGGATGAATGTAAGGATTTCTGGGTTTAAATGTATACAAATCTCCCCCTAAATGTAGGTCCAGCTGCTGGTGACCAGTCAGGATGTGGATAACTACAAGCAGATCAAGTCCGATCTGGACCAGCTGCGCTCCATCGTAGAGAAGTCCGAGCTGTGGGTTTATAAGAGGCAAGGAGAAGACGGGATGGACGGAGACGGACCCTCAGAGTCTGACAACAAAAAGAAGGTTCAACATTTAGACAAATAATGAATATACCAATATAGATAGTGGTATAGTAAGGCTATACAACCTAACTTATCCTTGCTTATTTAAAAGGGAGACTCCCCTGGTTCAGACAAGAAGGACTCAGAAAGCACCAGCAGTTACAACTACAGGGTTGTAAAAGAGGTACGTTTATTTGTGTTTCAATATTGTATTTTTATGTCTTTACTGATTTGTTGCCTGCAGTTGAAACCCCTCTTGTGTTTGTTTTCAGATTCTGCTGCGTCTCAGTAAGCTGTGTGTCCAGGAGGGCAGCTCAGGGAAGAAGAGCAGGAAGCAGCAGCAGAGGCTTCTGAGGAACATGGGAACTCACAGTGTCGTGCTGGAGCTCCTGCAGATCCCCTATGAGAAGGTGCAACACTGCGGCTGAATATTATATTATTAGCATATGCAGAATAATAGGAAAGCTTTTAAAGGGACATTTCAGCCCTAAAGGAGGAGTGAGTTACCGAGTGTTGGACATATTGGCTGTAGAGATGTCGTCCTTTCCTCCAACATAACAGAGCACTTTGTTTGCGTTTCTCAAAGCGACAAAACTCAACAGTATTGTATCTTTCCAGAAAACATGACCTGGTCACTCAAAATATTCAACAAACATCGTTGAGAGCAGTTTCATACAGGAACTAACTTTTACCGTAACAGTATCACCGCACAGAAGGAAGTGGGCATCTACTGCTCACAATAAGGTCTGTGGATTATCTTGAAACTCTGGGTCATGACTTCCAGAAAGAGACATTGCTGATGTGTTTTATTTGTAGCTTTGAGCACCGCAACGGAAGGCAATCTAGTTCCATTTTATTCAAGTGAAGGCAGACATCTATCCAACATTCATGAACTGTAGCGCTACAGGTATAATTATTTTTCAGTGTAAACTATCCCTTTTTAAAGACCTTCATAGTTGTTAGACATTGCCCTTTTCTGATTGATGTACAGTAAATAAAAAGTATAACTCTGTGTTATCTGCGTTAGGGGGAGGACGTCAGAATGGAGGAGATCATGAAACTGGCTCATGAGTTCCTACAGAATTTCTGTGCAGGAAATCAGCAGAATCAAATTCTTATGCACAAACACATCAACTTGTTTCTCAACCCAGGGGTGAGTAAAACAGGCCTCTCGGGTTTACTCATTGGGATCGATTCGTGCAGTTTCTAAAATACTATCTTCTGGAAAAACAAATCTAAAATGTCCTTTCTGCCCCTCCTTTTGATACTCTATCAGATTCTCGAGGCCATCACCATGCAGCACATCTTCATGAATAACTTCCAGCTGTGCAGTGAGATCAACGAGCGAGTGGTGCAGCACTTTGTCCACTGCACCGAGACGCACGGGCGACACGTGCAATATCTCAAGTTCCTGCAGACCATCGTAAAGGCCGAGAACAAGTTCATCAAGAAGTGTCAGGACATCGTGATGGCCGAAGTGGGTCCTATGATCTTTATACTGTATCTGTGTATGCTAATAATATAGAGGAGATAGTGAGTCAAAATAAAGCAGAAAGACAGATGTGTTGGTAATATCAATGAAAAGAGTGGTTGTACTCATGGGCGTAGTTTCCACTGGGGACAGGGGGGACATGTCCCCCCCACTTTTCAAAATCCCGTTTGTGTCCCCCCCACTTTTCAAATGTGTTTATTAAGACTGAGAGGCTGAGATAACGTCAGTTTAGCCGATGTAAAGGACTCGCTGAGTGATTAGATTGTAAACTTTAGTCGAAGTTATCTCAGTGGGTCTCAAACAGTTTGGTCATCTATGTAAACAAATATTTCCATCTATTAAATATAGTTGTTCAAAATAAGTTAAGAAATCATTCCAATGTCAGTAAAAAAATTAAAAAACACAGTTTAAAAGGGGAGTGATTAGTAAAATATGCATACATAAAAAGAAAGAATGCAGACTAGGTACGTTTAAGATAGGAGAGAGGAGTATATCAATTATGTGTTGTTGGTTGTGAGCATATTCTAATGGTTTTTGGAGTATTGAAATGTATACAGTTCTGTTTTATATGAGTGTTGAGAGCTGTATCCATAAATCTCTTAATTTTGCTCTCAAAGTGCACCAGATTGTTGCTTTTAACTTCAATTTAAAGACAAAAATCTTCTCATTATATATACTACACATTTTTCTTGGATTTTTTAACACCATAGTCCCTAATATATTCGTAGAAAGGCAGGAAATTGAATTGAATTGAGAAAAATGTTTCATTGCGGAGGACCCCCTGTTTTGTGTCCCCCCCACTTCTCAAACCAAAGTTACACCCTTGGTTGTACTTATTGTAATAGAGTGGTGCAAGGAGTGAGTCCTTAACCCAGAAATGAGTTAGCATTTAAGCACGTCTGGGCTCTCTCGTCTCGAAGTCAATGTTCTATGTTGGATCAACACAAGCTTAATAGATCTTCAAATGTTGCTCCAAGTCTTTTATGGTCTTAAAAAAAGCAGTTGCTAACAGGTGGCTAAGTGAGAACACTAAACGTCATCACGGCGAACATTAGCCGCTTTTAGCTTAGCCAGGTAACCGCAATGTAGTTCATTTTAAGCATAACGTTTGCTTCTGTGCATTGCATTTAAGCTTTAAAAATATCAGTTGCATAAAGTATTAAGAATGTGTGTTTGCCAAAGATCTTATTTCCTCCAAAATCCAATGGAAAATACAGTTTGCTTTTTGCCAAGGGAGCCCTTGTTGGCGATGCGTACTTCTGGGTTAGCCTAGAAAAATAAGTCATCATTACACCACTCTGAGGTTTAAGGTTGAAAGATATACTGTAACATTTCGTTAACAAGACCATACTCTCTACTGTTACTCCCCGCACTCAGCTGGTGAACTCGGGCGAGGACGTCCTGGTGTTCTACAACGACCGGGCCTCCTTCCAGACCCTGGTCCAGATGATGCGTTCAGAGCGGGACCGCATGGATGAAAACAGCCACCTGATGTACCACATCCACCTGGTGGAGCTGCTGGCCGTCTGCACGGAGGGAAAGAACGTCTACACCGAGATCAAGTGCAACTCCCTGCTGCCCCTGGATGATATCGTACGGGTGGTCACACATGAAGACTGTATCCCTGAGGTATGAGTAATGAGGTTTAAAACTGTCTGCACATGTCTAAGTGTTGAACATGAACACTGATGCATACCAATGACACCTAAGTCTTCATAATTTTACCCTGAACCTGATGGCAAAACAAACTTTAAAGGAAACTTTATTGGTTTACTACTTCTCAATATACATTAATATAAGGATAACACGATACAGAATCAATCAAATATAGGCTGTAAAGGGAGAGCCAACTTAACCAATTAAAGTCCAAGAACAAGGTGAGATTATAATGAAAAAAGATAATATGATAAATATTTAATGGGTAAAATGATAATAGCCTAAAAAAGGTAAGAAATGGTCGTAAAAACTGATGTTTTAAGCTAAATTAACCCTGCAGGAGGAGGAAGATGTCAGCAGTAAATGACAGTTTAAAAGAATATTACATTCTTTCTTTTTTTTTACTTGTTACTATATTTTCGCTTTTATCCAAAGCGACTTACATACTCAATACTGTGGACAATCCCCACAGGAGCAATTTGGGGTGAAGTGTCTTGCCCAGGGACACAACGACATGCTGACTGCAGTGGGGTTTGAACCTGTGCTCCCCTGATCCGAACATCAACACACTAATCCACTGCGCCACAGCCTCCCTGGAATATGTTTACAAATAATTGCGAACCAGCTACGAGAGGTCCTTTTAGCCTAAAGTCATAAATGTGCACAAAAACAATGATGCTAATAGGTCCAGAAGTAGGTGAGGGCAAACACAGCGATGCACACACATGGCCTGACACATGATGCAGGTTTTTACCCCACAGAGAAAACCAATAAAGATAAAAGTGTATACAGCAACACAGCATGTGCATCCCGTATAGCATACTCTACATTTGTATTAAAACATGTCGAGGGAATTGGCGGACGTTGCCGTGTGCCAGACTTCATGAATGTGTCTTCAGCTAAAAAGCTTTTTCCTTTGTGTCCGAACAGGTGAAGATTGCCTACATCAACTTCCTGAACCACTGCTATGTGGACACAGAGGTGGAGATGAAGGAGATTTACACCTCCAACCATATGTGGAAGCTGTTTGAGAACTTCCTGGTGGACATCTGTCGGGTGAGCTGCAACCTGTTTGTGTTTCTGCTATCAGATGATCAATAGAGGGGAGAGTGCTTTACATAACGTCATGCGTTTTGAGTGATTACGTCAACACAGTGTGCAAAGAACATAATGTTACCTGTCGCCAACATGCAGGAAGTGTGATCCAATGTGTCTGCGTCACACTAATATACATTTTTCTGTCCTTTACTTAGGTGTGCAACAACACCAGTGACAGGAAGCATGCAGATACCATACTGGAGCGTTACGTAACGGAGACGGTCATGAGCATCGTCACATGTTTCTTTAGCTCTCCTTTCTCTGACCAGAGCACCAGCCTGCAGGTAATCTGGAAAGATGACCATCGCATTTTTAAATATGCTATTAAAAGCAGCATGCAATTAAAAGTCTATAACACCATGTATATGTTCATTTCAGTAGAAGTTAAAGGAGCCCTATTATGCTTTTTGGGGTTTTCCCTTTCCTGTAGTTTGTAATATAGGTTTTTATTCATGTAAATAGTTTGCTACGGCTAAAATTCCTAAGTTGGTGTCCTTCCGTAACATAGTGACATCACGATGTAACACTTGACCTTCTATTAGCTAGAGCTCCAACACAATGTATGTGATAGACTAAGGGGCAGGACATCTCTTAACGGTTGACCCATCACAACAGAGCCGGCCATTTCTTACTTCAGAGTTTATATGACCCAATATGTATATGTGCTCATTTTAATTCATTTCTTACTTCATAGTTTTTCATTTTATTTGTATCTTTGATTTTATTAATTGTATTAACCTGTGTGAATCTGTGCTGTCCTGTTTTTCATCCTTACCCTGTCGCTGTTTGAACTACTGCATTTCCCCACGGGGATTAATAAAGGTCCATCTTATCTTATCTTAACCAATCAGAGCAGACTGGGCTCTGGTTTCAGACAGAGGGTGAAAAGAGGTGCTGCTGCACATTTTTGAACATTAAAGCATGTATTAAAACATGTCACAGTTGAGGCACGAAATAGAAATATGAACCTGAACATGAGCTAAATATGTCCTCATTAAGTTGTTTGACATGAGAAACCCTGCTCACATACCTAACATTCAATATTTTTTTCTGTATAGATGGCTCGCCGCATATATGTGAGTAATGGAAACTCCCCCACATTTAGTTTCCCAACCCTTCGGTGTTTATCTACAGTATCTTTAAGGAGTATCTTCACTGTGTGGGTTGTTACGGTTTCAGAGCTTAGTCAGCACACAGTCTCTGTTGTTCCCAGATCTGTGGGTGTGTTGCACAAGGTTTTGGCCGTCCTGTGGTCTACATTTTTCCCAGTAAATCATGACCATCACCCTTCATAGATTTCCAAATCCCTCGTACAGTAAAGGTGGTGTGTAGCATTACAGTTCAAGCCCAATGTACTCCTTGTATTCTGGTTATGTGGAGTTGTTTTGTTCCAAGTTGCCCCCTGTAGAAGTGGTTGATCCCCCATTTATTTACCTTTCTGAGAATTCTGCTTACTGAGCTTTATCAATACATGATGACGTCACGATCCTCTTTTTCTCGCAACAGGACGCCATGCTTGGAAAGATGACAGAGGTATTTATTGTACTCTAGGGCGGTGACCAGCTGATAGAGTATCAAGGTGGTAGAAATGAGATTTGCTCTCTATTTGGGTATAAACAGCTGACCTACTGGACCCTTCCACCATAGGTGCTATAGTATCCTCACATTAACATCTCTGGCACTCGGGTTATAAAAGTAAACTAATCCGGGAACACAATAGTCACTTTGTTGGTTCTGATTTTCTCTTCACAGTTTTCTCTCCTCAATCTGTCCTATAACGTATTTTCTTTTCTTTTATACCTTACTCTCTATTTAATGAGCTTTCTCTCTGTCTCACAGACCCGTCAGCCAGTATTTGTGCAACTTCTCCAAGGAGTATTCAGGGTGTACCACTGTAACTGGCTTAACCCTGTGCAGAAGGCCTCAGTGGAGGCTTGCATTAAAGTTCTCTCAGACGTTGGTAAGAACCTGGGCTGACACCACACCACCCATTCATCTCCACCGATCTCTGTTATTTTATTCAGAAAATGCACTTTTTGACCCATGATAAAAGCATTTAAATGTACATATCTGCGTGTTTACCTCCACCCAGCTAAAAGCAGAACCATTGCCATCCCGGTGGACTTGGACAGTCAGGTGAACAACTTGTTCGTCAAGTCCAATAATGTCGTGCAGAAGAGCATCCTGAGCTGGAGACTTTCTGCTAAGAACACAACGAGACGAGACTCGGGCCTGACCTCCTCCAAAGACTACAGAAACATCATTGAGAGGCTACAGGTAGGTAGCGAAGCATAGCGTATTATGTACATTATCAATATAAACATTTAAAGAGACCTTATTATGTTTTTTAGGGTTTTCCCTTTCCTGAAGTGTGTTATGGCGCATTTCCACTGCAGGGCCTCGCACGGCTTAGTACGGTATAGTTAGGCCTTGGTAGGCCAGGCTCACTTTATGCTGTGTTTCCATTACAGTTTAGGAACTGGGGCAGTAACTATAGTAACGCAGTGTAGGCGGAGCCGTGACGTCATCTTCAATGAGAACCCCAGAAAAACAACACAGCCGTTAGCTGTTAGCACTCAGAGCTCACAGCTCCTCATATCTGTTCAGAAACTAGACAAAAGTTAAACAAGTACAAACCACAGACTGTCTGTGTCATGGCGAATACAGTCGCTGGTTTATTTATGTCTGTATAGGCCGTTGTTGTGAGTGTGGACGGTCGGAGCATATACTGCGTTAGCTTAGCCGATCTTCATTCAGAAAACACGCATTTTAAAAGGTTTTTCGCCTGCCGTCTGTCTGCAGACTTGTCAAAGCATTAATTCATGGTTTTTACTAACCGGTATCAGTATGTTGTTACTTCGGCATCATTTTGAAACGTGTATTACAATTAAATCACGGTCAAATATGTTCATTTTGTTGTAGTTGTAGCCCCCTTGCCAGCGATTCTCTCACTAGTTTAGCATACTCAGCCCGGTTGTTGGCCCGGAAAGAACCTCGATTTCGGAGAGCAAGAAAAACTGTGAAAAAGTACCCGTTAGCCGGAACTACCCCTAGTGGAAACGCAACAAAAAACTGGCCGGGTTTGGCGCGGCACGCTTAAACCGTGCTATGTGCTGCAGTGGAAATGCGCCATTATATACTGTAGGTTTTTGTGCATGTAAATGGTCTGCAAAGGCTAAAATCCCAAAGGCACAGAACACAAAGATGAACCTGAAGATGAGCATAAAATGTTCTCTTTAATTAAGGGAAAGTAATAATGGCTTTTATGAAGTGCACAAGCGACACGTCTGAGGGCAGAGTGGAACAGGACATACAGTTCTTTCTGGAGTGGTAAAACGGTAATTTGTGACATTGTCAGTCTGGCACAGAGAAGCCTTAATTGAAAAAAAGAAAAAATAGGGCAGATAGTTTGAACGGCATTCTGCACAGCATTGTATAACGCTGTATTTATATTCATGTCTGGGAAAAAAACCTAATTAAAACCCTCAAACTGTTCAGATTATTCCTATAAATATGACTCATGAATATGATTATTCTTTAAATGTAAATTATTTCTATTATCTAATGACGCTGTATAAAACTGTGTATAGACATAATGCATATACAATACAAATGAACCTACTTCATGTACATAAGTAATAATGTAATCTATTACACTTCCATTTAACACTTGATTCGGCACTTTTTGCACTAATTGCATTATTAACAGAAACACTTAGACTTCTTGTTGATATAAATGATATCTTTTATTGTTGCTTATATAGGATATATTCATATCCTTTCATTCCCCTTCTTGTATGTTTACGGTAAGGATTAAGAGTTAGCCCGGCTAGCTTAGTTAGCGTTACATCTTGACTGTTAATCCGTAGGTGTAACATTAAGTGCTACGTGTGTGGTTGTTGTTGTTGGTAATATTCCAGTGCAAACAAAATACTGTAGAAGTGGTTTCTAAATACATCCTGCTTTCAGTCATGGCTACACCCTGTTTTCTTGTAATGTGTGACTCAGTACTCACTGGAAATCTAAGAAATCTCTGACCCGTCTGCTTCGGTTCAGCTGGTTCCTCTGCTCACACAGAGACGCATGTAGTGAGAGTGAGGCTGACATCTCATTGTGTTTTCAATAAAAAAAAAAAAACAATTCCAATCATGAGACTACTTGTAATACTGTCAATTTGCCAAGTTTTTCTAAACCAACCCATTTCCAATCAGCGGTTAATGTGGTTCCTAAAATGATTTCCTTCTAATTTCTTTTTAGCCTTTATTCAAGGAACAGCATTTCTTAGAACGTATTCTTCAACACCTACTAATTTCTCTTTTGTGATGCCACTCACCACACAACCCACACAGTCATTTAATCACAGTATCCCAGCACTTATTTTCACATTTTCACACTAATCAGCACCAGATGTGACAGGAAGTGCGTGGGAAAGTGGGACGTGGTGGTCGCATCATACGTATGGTTTGCTTTTAAATGCAGTTCACATGTAATGTACTGGACATGTATCTCCCCCGGTTTCTCTTAAATTAGTTGTTGTGCAATTTCGAAGATAATATGACGTTAATAGCACCGGGATTTCTGGCATGTAGTTGCATGTACAGATGTCGAGAGAAAATGTGGTATAACTTTATCTCAGCACCACATATTAATCTGAATATCTTAAAAATGTAATGCATATTAATATTGCGTGATAATTAATTGTAGCCGTGCACGACATGATTCAAGATATTGGAGGGATTGATACTTTTTTTTATCATTATTCTTACAATCATTAAAAATTATATTAAATGATTATTGTGTGACTTTTTTTTTAAGAGGATCTGAAGGCAACATATATATATATTTTTTTTGTAAGTCTGTAGAATATGATTTGTAGACGGGGATATCTCAGCAGTTTCACAATTCTTCATTTAAAAATGCAATTGTTTTCACATTTATCATCAATAATTGGGCTTCTTGTGATTTGTATATTGCACCAGTCTAAATTGCGATTGTGATCAAATGTTGATACATTGTGTAGCCCTGGTATACAGTAACCTACTTGTTATGGAAGGAAAACAGGCTTTTGACTTCACTTTTAAGGCGACTTCCTATCAACAGTAAGTGATTACGAAGTGTTGTGGTAAACTGCAGTGTCTCTCTCTCTGTGTGTGTCCCTCCGCTCTGCAGGACATCGTGTCAGCGCTGGAGGACAGACTGAGGCCTCTGGTGCAGGCCGAGCTCTCTGTGCTGGTGGACGTCCTCCATCGTCCTGAGCTGCTCTTCCCCGAGAACACAGAAGCTCGCAAGAAATGTGAAAGTGGAGGATTCATATCGAAGTAGGTTTGCCAATTTGGCCCGTTGGTAGAGTTTAGAGGCACCCAGGGTCAACATTTGAAGTGTTCTTTGTTCACAAACATTTAACACATTTGAAATGCCTTACCCAATACAGGCGAATCAGTGACAACAAAAGGTCTATTCAAGAAAAACTGTAATCAAAATGATCAGAGAAATTTCAAAACATTATTACATAAATGGCTTAACAATTCTCAAATAAATCATACTTGTAAACACAACTCAAAATATGCCTTTTATATATCCTCATTATAATTTTAAAAAAAATCCAAATGGCTCCAACAATTATAATTCATATTTGTGAGACCTTCCTTTACATCCTGGTGTTTTGTTGTGCCTGATAAGAACTCTGATGGATTACAGGAAGCCGGCGAGAGACAGAGTTGTTGTTTTTGCAGGGATTACCTCTCTACTTATGGCAGCCATTGTGGAGTACATTAGTTTGTGGAAAAGTGTGTCAACACTCACAAGCTTAGTTAATCACTTGGTCACTTTCACTCATATCCATGTGTTTTTAAAATGTCACGACCTCATGCTCCAAATCTGTTGTTTTGGGCTAACACAAGATCAGTGTATGATGACGGATATCAGACAAAATATTGAAATTGTGTGTTTTTAACGATTGTTAACGTACTTTTCTTTCTCTTTTCCTGACCAGGCTGATCAAACACACCAAGCAGCTGCTGGAGGAGAACGAGGAGCGCCTGTGCATCAAAGTGCTGCAGACACTGAGGGAAATGATGACGAAAGACCGGGGCTATGGGGAAAAGGTACAATACCCTCTGTGTTCCTGTTCTTCATCATCTGCTTGTAGTCATGGCCTAGATTCCCCCCCCCCCCCCACATGAGATAAAAGACTTCACAGGATATACAGTGTCCCTCTGTCCCACTGCACCAAGCATTTTAGAAGACACAAGATCAGAAAAACTGTAAAAATAAAGGTAGAAACTGAGCTCTCCTTGGTTGCCTCTGGAGCCTGAACACAAAAAAATATCCATACGTAAGTTTTAAAGTCACTGCAGCAGAGTAGGTATTAATCCTACCTGTGTAGGTTTTTGATATTTAATCAAAAAGACCATCCCCTCATTGCTTTCTTCCTTAAGGAACTTTTAAAACATGAAATCTATTGAAGTAACTCGTATCAAACATCTTCACCAACAGTCACATCAAGCATGCCTTACACTAATGTTACCTAGCATTCATTGATTACTAATGACCTCATTAGCTACTAATGGAACTAATGTGTATTTGATGAAACCCTCAGCCTGCTTGTTTAATCTTCAAAGCAACATGTTTTTATTGATTGAAGGCTGAGATGGGAGCGCCTGTCTACGACAACTTTTGTTGTTGCAGCTTTATGACAAAAAGAAACGGACACATAAAAAAAAGACCTCCGCATTTATTTAATGGCTATGTGTTGAGTTTTACCATCACCTTAAATGCTTCATAAGTCAGAATACTTTATTTATCCCAGGGGAAATTGGGTTTGTACAGTTGCTCCATTTCAAATTAAATAATGACTAAATCAATAAAATATAATAAACATGAATGGTTAAAGTATAATCTCCAATAAAATATAAAATATGAAATAACATATTTAAATAAACAAAAAACTGAAAGTAAAACATTTTCACATTATAGTACAATATATACGTGTATATGACAATATATATGGGCTTAAAGGTCAATACTGTAAAACAGTGTTTATGCATATATTCACATGCTTTCTTCTTGACTAACTTTACGTTCTCCTTGTGTTTGTGTCACGCTTCACATTTGCACTCTGGTGACCGAGCTTTCACTCGCCAACCCGCCGCACTAACTCTCTGCTCCCTATACCTCTTCTCTTGCAGCTGATTGCCTTTGATGATGAGATGGATGTGGCTGAGGTTGATCATTTTACTTACTACTGTGACGTACTTTAGACTTGTCTCCCACTAACACCATGCTTGTGCTGCGATAGACATTTTAGTCTGTCTGTGGCTGTTAGAGTCGCCCCTTGTTAACACCCATGTTAAAACATAGCATACTGATAGCATGTCAAGCTAACATTGTCCGTTGTGCCTGTACAGTGTATGGCAATGTACTTACTTGTAATGGAGTGCACTTCTTAGAGAAGAAGTAACTTCATTAGGTATTCGTAGCAGAACAGTTTTACAGATTGTCCATTACTTCTCCTATATGCAGCTAAGATTGCTCATCACAAATGGTGTGAGACTTTTGGGCCTTGAAGTTTCCGTGAAACAAAGGGGGACAATTTCTGGTTGCATTCTTTTCAATTGACACACTGTCACATACTTTGCTCACACTTCGTCACATTTAAGATATGTGTAGCTTCTCAGTCACATGAACACAGAAATAGGTTACGCCATCTTCAAATAGACACGAACATCCACTTGAACGGATAACACTTTGGGGATCAAAGTCACGTTTTTGGATGTTTTTGGACATGTACATGCTAATATGGAAATTGTCACACAAGTGTCCATTATGATACAATTATGCAGTTGTGATTTTTTTTGGACCGACATGAATATGAACGGCAACTGTTGGGCCCTGTGGTCAACATGTCAAGTTCGTTTTGCCAAGATACTGCACCCTAAACACTCCCTATAGCATTTCCTACTGTGTGTGTGTGAATGTTTCTCACTCCTGATCAACAGGTGCCATCTTGTATGGAAGCCTCTGCCTCTGCATGAACGATGACTTGTGTTGTTAAAGCCTTTTGAGTGGTCACTTAGACCAAAAAGCTCTATAAATGCAATCCATTTACAACCGTGAGGCGGTAATCTAGTTCATAATTGACTATCTTGATTTGATAATCTCTGATATTATCATTATTTTAATTGCTCAACATCAATAAGATGTTTCTATATTGCTTGTCACCTAATCTACATGCCACACAGCCCCCTTTATGATGGATGGTGGCCCTTCGCCACCATTACAAGAGCAGGTGTGAGTGTATATATAGCTGGGATTCTCCATCTAACAGATCATAACACACTGAGCAGTGTTTGGAGTGGTGTGTATGTCATGTTGGAGCATTGCAAAAATATGTGTGTGGCCATGACTTCTGGCCTTAAGGAAGCGGATTAAACCGGTTTTCTGTTTATGATAGGGAGGAGATGTTGGGGGATTTTGGGTGTGTCTGCAGAGGAACCATATCTCACGCCTCAATGGTGACAAATACCATTGGATGGAACAAATCCCACAGACTTCTATTCATAGTTTGTTGGGGGGTTGTGTTTAGAAACAAGATATTTTTTCAATTGCTAATAAAAACAAACGTAAACGTAAATGTAAAAGTCACAAAGATGTTAAAATAAATTGTCCATGCTTCTGTTTCCTCTCATTTAGATTGCTTCAGTTCTCTTTTTTCATACCAGTAGTTATTCCACTCACCTTTAGCTTGCTCTTCTATTGGCTAGCGCTCAAACACATTGTACGTGATAGGCTAAGGGGCGGGACATCTCTAAGCGACTGACCAATACAAATATGTTAACCAATCAGAGCAGACTGGGCTCTGGTTTCAGACAGAGGGTGGAAAGAGGTGCTGCAGCACAGGCAGTATGAGAAAAATAAAGAGCTTTTTGAACATTAAAGCATGTAACCATGTCACAGGAGAGACAGAACATACTAATATGAAACCTGAATATTTGCATAATTGGGCTCCTTTAAGATAGCCACTAGCCTTTACACAATGTTTAGGTTTTTAGATGAGAACTCTTTAGGACGCTATGGAAACAGCTAGTGAGCAGCTATGATGAGCTATTTCATATAGTTAAATGCTCGGAAAAAAGTTTGTGGACATTGTGTTGGGATTCTTTTGATAACTGTAAAGTGTTCTTGGTAGCTTCTCTTGAAATCAGTAAATAGATCAAAACTAAAAGCACGTATTGTCAGAGCAGGAGAATCTGTACCAGCAGGAGACGGTACACTTAATCAAAAGCATGGTGAGTGCGAGGGAAGTCAACACAATGCTGGTTCTGGAAATGTGGAAATTGTCGGAAAAGGGTCTTTCCAGAGTTGCCAGGAAGCGATATGCTCTCAGTTTCTCTATTATGTCTCTCAGTCTCATTCTCCCTCCTTCCCTCCCCCTTTTACAAATGCTGTAGCGATGGAAATCCCCGGATTCCACAAAAACAGGGCTGTTCTCAGAGACCAGCTCTTTGTCTCGCCAACTCCTCCCATATGCATCCTAAGTATTTACACATACTCCCTCGCTCGCCTCCCCAGCACATGCTGCATGTCACTCATTCATGCAAACTTATATTAACAGCAGCGTACAGTACAGTTCCCCTGACAGACAAACAGAGACACACAGGCAGACCAAAACCTCAACTTCCTCCAAGATAAACTGCCATGATAGCTGTTATGTAACCCCAGCATTTAGCCTGCTGCTGCTCTCTGACCCACCATAACACACCCACTCAAAGGTCTCAAGGAATGAGTGCAGCTGTCAGTTTCACTACTCTTTGACAGACCCCATCATACTTGTGTGTATGTGTGTGTGTATATGCTGGGAGAGTGGTGAGAGAGCAGGATAGAGCAGAGCGGCGGTTCCCCCATTAGCAGAGGTTATCTCATTCCTCCAGAAATAGAAGCGCGATAAAATGCGAGCCCGGGGAAAACAAGGCATGACCCGGCCTGCCACCCTCGTTGTCAGGCCTGATCATATCACTCGCTGCATGTGTTAGTGTGTTTTCTTCACGTGAATGTGAGATCCGTTGTTTGTGAAAAGACAGGAGGTCGCAGGGGTCAGATGGAAATGATGCCCCATGTTCTCACGATGTAATGCTGCTTGCTGAGCACGTAACACATATGTGCAGTCACCGTTATATAAGGGGCTATTTCTATGCCTGTGTGTTTCACAAGCTCTCTCTCTACAGTATCTGTGTTTATCTACTCATTATCCCGACCAGATATTATTTGTTTAGCTGGAGATTTATAGATAACCAGTTCCTCTTGTGCATATTTCTGACCACATTCGCACACCGCTCCTTTGACAAATATTATTCCTTTACTTACAGTTGTGAGACATTTTTCTCTTCTACTTTCTGGCCTTCTCTAACCTCGCCAGTGCGCAACATATCCAGCTGCCACTCCCATCACTCACTCTGCCAACCTGGCCTCAGATAGACTCTGCTTGTCCTGGTTTATCCTCCTGTGGTTGAAGCCAGGAGACTCTGAGCTGTTGTTTCCTTTCCTGATCAACAGGGGGAGCTGCCGATGCGCCTCACCAACACACAGCGCTGTCCCAGTTTCCTTCACTTAATGCTGCACGATTCTTGGGCTCCAGCCAGCTCTCAGGAAGCAGTTACATAAGAGCCAAACATTTTCTTTCCCCTTTTTTTTTCCCCTTCTCCGTTTTCCTGGAATTTTAAACTCTCCACTGATGTGTAACCTTCAGTGGTTATTGGCTATAAAAGTGCAGCTGAGATATCTTCCAGGAGACGGTAGCATGGTGAACTTCAACTTAGGCATGGGAAAGTTGGGGGTTTACTTTGGGTGGTGTGTGTGTGTGTGTGTGTGTGCACTTCAGCAAACATAACAGCTGTTAATTGTTTCAGGTCTGCTTCTGTTACAGGCCAATGTTATACTGTCAGCAGAGTGGTATACAAAACTAGCCCTTTTCCCCGAGGATTGACTGATTATGAACAGTCAATTTCTGCTATGACTTCCCAGTGAGGTGAGGTAAAGCAGTGTGTCTGTTTTGGGATATGAGTTAAGGCTCTCAGTAATCACAATGTAAACAGAGGAGCTCCCTGAGGAAAGTGCAACATCCCCTGATGATTATACAGATTTTTCTGGTCAGTGAGATAATATGACCTTAACTGCCTCCTGTTTTTTCGCAATTGCCCTGAATCCCATTGTGTTTACTTGACCTTGGAGGTTTTTATCACACATTCTGGGAAAGCAAAACCAGTGGAACTGTTGCTGACAGTTTTTAGGTTAAGCCATCCAGCTGATGCAAATGTTTTAAGCGGCCAAAAGAAGCACAAGCAAGCTGTTGATCGTGGTTAACAGTTACATATATTAATTAGGTCAGGTTTCACATATTGCCCTTATTTTTTTCCACCACGGGTTACATTTTGAACTGATTTAGATGAGGATAGCGGCGGTGTCAAAAATAGCTTCAGTTGCATGCATGAAACATTCTCACATCACCTTTTTTCTGTGGAAATCTATGTGTTGACGTAAAGTGGGCTTGATGGAGGGAAATTCCTGTCCAGTTGCACAATGAATCAGCATAAACCATCATGACTGGGTTTCAGAGGGAGACGTTGCGTATGTCCAATTGAGGTTGCATGTTGTTTATTTAGTTTGTGACAATAGATTATATCTCTAGAGTCTAGAGTGAGGTTTTTTTGTTGTGTGTATATATTAAGGATTTCTATAAACTGTATTAACTGTAATCTGAATGTATAGGCAATCATCCAATTTTATTTTATATTTAATTAACTAAATCTGTAAGTTATGCTTCATTATTATAATTGAAAAATGTGTTCATACTATATAACAGTCTTGCCATTACCTACAGCAATCCACACAGTTAAATATTTAAAGTTCAACCTATTTTTACTAAACAGGTTTATTGTTTTATTTGTTCCAGTCGTTTGGCAAATGTACTGACAATCATTCAGTTTTATAACCCATTGCAGCTCATATCGTACAAGGATACGATGTACTTATAACACTTTTTTTGTACAGTGTGTACCCTTATGAGTGCCCTTAATGAGTGCCCTTAATGTGCTTGATCAAAATGAACTCTGGTGTTTCCTTAAGATCAACCAACATGCACACAGAGATACATGTACATATCAGCAAACCGATGAGTGTGCATTTTCTTGTCATGCAGAGTGACAGACCGCCACGCTTTGCAACAGGATGTTAATAGTGAACCACAGATTACTAAACACAGTGTCGCATTGTAGTCAAAAGCCTATAGTGCGGTGAAGGTCAAAACAGTGGTTCTGCTTTCTTGCTGCAAAAGGTTAACGCTGCTCATCATCCATGCTGTCCAATTAGACTAGCTCCATAAAGACACGAGACACGCTGAAATCAAATAATTGTCTACATACTGCAAGCAATCCATTTTCCACAAGGTCTTGGGAATCAACAATCTTTTGTACTTTTTCTGTCCCCCCCCCTGGCTCTTTAAGTCACACACACATGTGCATGTTTGCATGTGACTGGCAATCTTAGCGAGCATCAGAAAGCCACATATAGAAAGTTACATGAGAAAATAGGGACCATTTAAGGACAAGAGGTTTGTTTTTAAGGAAGTTGCTATTCTTTGGAAGCAGAAGCAACATGACTAATTCAACATCTTCAAACTCTGACTATCATCATCCTTTTATTTCCAATTAGCTGGCACCTCCACCCGAGCCTGAAGTCCCTGCTGAGGTGTGTTAAAGACCCCTATTAGCCTGTTGACTGCTAATATGGGTCCCATATGTACTTCATCCCATTACCCCCATGTTCAGTGTTACATGTAGCGCATGTAGAACTTTCAGAAAATCCTTATTAGTGAAACCAGTGGCCTTTTAGGACCTGCAGTAAGATTTCTGAGCATACTGGGTACTGGCCAAAACACTGATGTGACATTACATCATAATCATTTATTGAGAATATTGTTTTTGTTCGTAATATTACTTCATTTTATTTGAAGTATTGGCTCCATGGTTCTAACTAGCTTACTGTTTGCAAATTATTTGTGAATAATTGATTAGATAATGCAGATCTATTCCATGCAGCTAAGTTTCAGCTGGCTGGCTAACTTTGCTTAGCTATGGTTACAGTTAGCTAGTTGACTTCCTCTTGACTAGAAAACAATTGTTAGTTGTACACCTTTTGTAAAATCAATACCTGTCATGGGTTATGTTAGCTGTGAAGTTGTTTAGCAAGCTACACGAAACACTCAAATAGTATTTCACTAGTGATAACGTTAGCAAGCTAAGCCAGCTAGCTGTTACTTAGCTACAATACATTGCCTTTGCATTGCTTGCTTTGTAGTGTTACCTGATGAAGTTGTTTGCAAACAGTAAGTTAGACAATTTAATATTAAAAGGATTAGCTGATGTTGTCTACTCAAGAAAGTATCTCTACGGTAGCTGCACACTGTTTGCGCTATTGGAAAGCTAAATTTAGGCAAGTAATTGGGAGTGTGCAGTAACTTGGTATCCTTTAGAGTTGCTGGGAAATCTTTCATATATATCCTTCTTCAGGCTGTGAGGGAAGGTCTCAGATTTTAAGTGAATTTACAGTCTGCTCACCACTGGCCTGCAAACCCATTGATACATGTGAATTGTTACAGTACTTCACACATCTCTTTATCTTTATAGATAAGTGTCACATCCCATCACTATGTAATACCTCTTCTTTTGAGGGCCCCCTCATGCATACCACTCCCTCTGTGTAGCTTGAATGATGCTACTTATCGGCCCTTGTATGTGAGACGCCTCCCACTTGTCCACGTATCATTTTTCCCTCTCTCCTTCCTGCTTCTCGTTCATCTTTCCTCGCACCTCTTAGTTTTTGAATAATTTCCAGTTTTCTGACCTTTTCTCAGTGGGGTGGGAGGGGGGTTGAAGTCATGGGTGAGGTGTTTTTCCATGCCAGATTGGTGCTTACAGTGTGTGTCAGCAACTCATGGCTCCATTATGTAACCTCTCATGGCTTGTGTTTCCCCCCCTCTGGCACTTTGTCATGCTCTTATGTAAATAATGTTGGCTCTTTCGCCTGTAAAGTAATGAAGGAGGCTCTCCAGTGGACTGCAATGTTTGAATTGTCTCACACTGGACTGTCAAGAGTGGTCATCTGGGTGTACAAAGTTGAGGAAAAATGACATCCAAATGTAATATTTAACTAATAAATACATAGGTATATGATGTTTTAGAATAAATGTCAGTCCTTTTTTGCATGAAGCCTTGCATGACTTTGACTCGCCCTCGCATGTTCCCTGACACAACCACTTCCCTTTTAACTGCACGATCTAATTTGTTTCCTGCATGCTAGTGAAGTTAAACTAATTTGCACTGTATTAACACCCTATTTTGTTTTCTAATTTCTTTCCCAAATTTCCTTTTCCTGCCTTTTTTTTTTCTTTCTTACATTTTATTGCTTTCTGCTAACTCACCTCACCTTTAAGGAGCTTGATCCCAACCAGCCCCAGAAGCAACTGGAGGATCAAAGGAGGGTAGGTACTAACGTTTGGTTTGCTGTGGTCCGCTGCAGGCCAACAACTGACTGACTGTTGTGATGCCCTCACAGTCACACTGCTCCACAGCATGGCCATCACTCACTCCCCTGTCAGTTATACGATATGAAACATGTGTGGCACATCAACGAATGGACCTGAACTCTGGGTGTTCATCTCTTCTTTGACATTTTGTGACATGTTTGGGCCGGAGGGGCTGAGTAGGTGACTGCGCTGCATTGATTTACATCAAACCAATATGGGTAAACACTGACTGTCAGCATATGTTGAGATGAGAGAGGGCACAGTGTCGCCTTTGAACATCACTGACTGAGGTTGGAGGGCAAAGGTCAAATATGAAGATGCTGTGTTTTGAGATCTTTCAAAGAGAGGTATCTTTTCAGGATTAGCCTCCAATGATTTTCCACTCTTTTTTTATGTATTCTTGTATACATTTCTATTGATACCTGATTTCTGTACAGCAGAAATTAGAATTTCTAAAAGAAACAAAAAAAATCCATTCTGCAAAAGAGAGATTTCTATGTAAACGTGTAACTTATTACAGCTTTATATTGTGGTGTTTTCCATGTGTGACTGATCAATTTCTGTGACATTGTAACTTAAGTTTAATCTTCTAACACCCATTTTCACTAATAGGGCGAAGCTCTGCGGCAGATCTTGGTCAATCGATATTACGGGAACGTGAAATCTGGCCCGAGGAGAGATAGCCTCACAACCTTCAGCAACGGCCCACTTGCTGTTGCAGCGCCGGGGAAAACACCTACAGGTGTGTGTGTGTGTGTGTGTGTGTTTGTGTAACAATAGTGTCTGTTATGCTGATAAAGATAAGATGAATTGATTTTGAATGATTTACTCTGGAAAACTGCTTCAGTGCGACAATAAGCTAAATGCACAGCACAAAACTAAATTAAGTCAAACATTAAAATAGTTGAGCTTATACAGCTGCTACATGTTTAGTGATAGAGAGAACTGTGAAACCTTTCAGCTGTAGTCAGGCCATTCAAACTTTAACTAAACTGAAAGTGAACGATCTTCACGAAAGATGCTTTCCAAAGCTTTGGGATCCTTCAGGGTGTCCAAGATTGGATGGATAATAATAAGAACTTAGTATGTTTGTATCAGTTATTTAGTTTTGATATTGAATGATTTATTTACAATCAGGGGGCCCTATTATGCTTTCTGAGGTTTTCCATTTCCTGTAGTGTGTCCCCCCCCCGCGGTCGAAACGCCTCCATTGGACTCCTTTGTTTACCTCTGTAACATAAGGCGCGTTCACACCAAGTACTTTTCCCACAATAGTTCATGAGAACTCTTTTAGTTCTGATGAACTAAAGCAGATCGCGTTCACACCAAAATGAGTTCCTGGGGGTGGATTAGGCAAATGAACCGCTGACGTCACTTCTTCTTCTTCTGCTTTGGGTTTACTGGCAGGCCGCAAACAACTTCACGGCGAGTACAGTAGGTGGCGGTATGCACCTTAAAGTTGCAATCCGCCAAAAAACCGAGAGAAAAAGAAGAAGAAAAACCTCCCGCGCCCACTTGCTGTAAATGAGGCGTCTGTTTACCTTCCGACCTCAGACATGAGCTTCGTCTGCGTTATTTAAGCAAACACAAATACAGATCGTCGACCAGTCAAATGCAATAGAGTGGCGAAGTCCCTCCCCTTCCGGTGGACCTCCATGGGACCTTATTTCGGAAAAATTATGTATTGAAGTCAATGGAGAGAGAAAGATTATCTTTCGATCCCGTTTGAATTGTGCCACGAATTACACATATGATGTTTGTCAATTTAAAAGATAATTTTGCAAGTCAAAAAAAAAAGAAAAGTGTTGTAAAACTGTGAAGTAACACATTTGTTTGTGTGAAACGCTCAATGAACTACATCTCTGGTCAACAACACACGTCACCAAGATGGCCGTCACTACTGTCAGCAAAACGATTGACTATCCTCACTATCACCACAATGAAACACGTCCTGAAGAATGTCATGCAAAGCTGCCTGCCTGCCTTCCTTTGATTCTCTCTGAACTGCCTGGTCGTTTTAATGTTTAATGTCAACCATTTGTGCAGATAGCATGAAGTAGAGAAGATCGCCAATGCTAACGTTAGCGTTAGCATTTCTCCCCCGGGCTTAAATTGTGTATTATAGAATGATCACACCGGTGACAGTACTATTCAAAGGGTTCACGAAATATGACTACTACTCTTACTGTTTAACATGTTGGGTTACTTCATGTTACTTCATGTTAAGGCTAATAAAAATGACACGGCTGTAATGCTAACTAACGTGCTAGCTACTAGCTAGCTTGATCCAGACACTCCTCTTTCATCAGACGGGAAGCGAAAGAATGAGCAAGACCCATTGCTGGTATAATAACAACCTGGTACTAAGCACACAGGCATCTTGTTAAAGTTATCTTATCTTAGCCAGTGCCATATAGATAGATTATATCTATATGGCACTGATCTTAGCTATTGTGACATCACTTACGCGACTCTGGGATTTGTAGTCTTTCTAGTTGCGTATTTTTCAAAGTCTTATATTTCAACAGTTTTAAGACAAACTGTGACTTTTTTGACATGGAAATGATTTTTTTAAGATTGACAAACATCATATGTGTAATTCATGGCACAATTCAAACGGGATCGAAAGATAAGTTTTCTCTCCCCATTGACTTCAATGCATAATTTTTCCGAAATAAGGTCCCATTACCCGGAAGTAGGTGGGCGTGACTTCGCCACTCTATAGCAATGCTGATTCGGAAGCGAAGGCGGTTAAGAAGGATTGACAAAAGGATTGGACGACGACATGCACGCGCTACGCTACGTGTGAAATGAATAAACTGTGCCAGGTGTGTCGTATGCACACTAAATAGGCTCAGCAGCTAACACACCTTTATTATATATCCTCCTGAGAACAACTGCATCCGTCTGCCATGAACCCTACAGAAACCTACGTGTTAGTTTTGGCCCATAGTGGCCTCCATTTGTGTCGTGTAAAATGGGGGAAATCAAAAGTTAGCAAATCCCCATGTTCATAAAAACATTTAGTTTTAGGTCAAATAATTATTACACTGCTCTGAAACTCACTACACTAACTCCTAAGATGTTCCCTTACTATAATTAATTAAAAATATTTAACTCACAACACTGGTAATAACAAACTTAACCATTTATCTTTCTATAAATAAATAGTGCTTGTGTTGGACGCCATTTTGAAATACAATGAAATTATCTTTTTGAAAGCCACAATAAATAAAGCTTCGCCAGTTTATAACCGATGAAACATGATGGTATCAGAATAATAAGCAAGCTTAGTTACATGAAATGTAATGAAAAATGTAAGATACAGGCTCTGTTTAATCGCCATGTAGGTTCTCTTTTATTGCACACTCAAGACAATATCAATAACAGCATCACGCTGTCCCAGGTGTGTCGTATGCATGTAAATAGAAGTTAACATTTTCAATATCAAATAAAGTGTCAGTAGTATCAAAACATATATATATACATATATATAATAACAATAGGTAGGCTCAGCAGCAGACACACCTTAGTGCAAAGTGAAGTGTCAGTATTAATAACAGTGGCATATATATATATAATCACAATAATACAAAATTAACTGTCCCAGGTGTAGGCAATTTGGGGTGAAGTGTCTTGCCCAGGGACACAACGACATGTTGACTGCAGTGGGGTTTGAACCTGTGCTCCCCTGATCCGAACACCAACGCACCAGACCACTGCACCACACGCCTCCCAACAAGTCATTGTACAGTTTATCAACGACGACAAGTTTTTATTTTTTTATTGAAGGCCTGTTGGATTTAATCAGCTCGCTTTGCACTGCCAGAAGCCCAGCCTGAAAGGTAATTTGTTGCTCCACCTGGCGCGCCGACACCTCCACCTGGAGCGCCGCCGAGTCAGCATGGCGCTGCATCACCATGAGCAGCTGGTCGTCCGATTCCTGGGCCTTGGTTCAAGGTTCAAGGTTCTTTATTGTCAATCTGACATAGCTACAGAGTAATTATGCAGTTGAAAATCTTATGTCACAGGCTTCTCCAACAATGCAACATAATAACATAACATAATAACAATATGCGAATGCAGCAGCCGTTCGTCGTGCATCTCCTTGGCACGCAGGTCCTCATTCTCCTTGCTGACCATGGCACAGCAGTCCATCGCCATGATGGTGTCAAGGAAGCTGTCATCGCGTGCCCACTTTCCTAAGGTGAAATAAGCAAGATACAAGATCAGTTTAATCGCAACAACGAGACAGCATTGTCCAACATTGAACATGGTGCAGGCAGGGACAGTGTCCAAAATGCAGGTGTAAAGTAGAAGATAAGATAGGATCAAATAGAGCACACACAGTGCCACATAACTCTTACAGGAGTGACACTCGCACATAAACACTCACCGCCACCTGTATGTCACTTATGTGTCAAGTTTATTTATTCAGACTTGAGTGGACGTCGAGGAAGATGGCTGCTTAAGTTCGTGGCTCCGGCGCCATCACCATTTATTTTTGCTTAAATATCCCACTATCAGTGATACTTTTTATCTCGGTCACAAGTTATTAGTCCCAATAGTCATCTGTTACATTTAAACATGCCGAATACTAAAAAACATCAGAAAACCGTAGTTAATGCAACTCAACAACACCTGGTTCTCAAGGCTAATGCTAGCCCGAAGCCTGCGAATGTCTCACCGGACATTACGGTGTTGAACTCGGCTGCTACTAAGCCGACCAACACCGCGATTCTTGAGCTTCTTCAAAAGCTATCTAAGGACCAAACAAAGCACTTTACTGACCTTCGGAAAGAACTATCGGTAACGCGGAGAGCCGTTGTTGCTGTTGAGGAGAAGCTAGCCGACGTGCTTACCCGAATTACCAGTGCTGAGGCCCGGCTGGATATGCTGGAAGACACAGAAGACCAGCGCCGCAATTCTCCGCCAGCCCTAGCGTCGGAGGTAGAAACGCTGAATGCTAAGCTGGTGGAATACGAGGATAGGGATAGGCGGGTGAATTTACGCATCTATGGATTCCCGGAGCATTCTGAGGAGAAAGATGCTTTATCCTTCCTGAAGACAACGCTATCGGACATCCTTCAGACGGATTTTCCTGGGGGCCTGGATTTGGAGCGTGCTCACAGGTCTCTAGCCCCAATCAGGCCCGGGGCTCCACCGAGACCTTTCGTGGTGCGTTTCCTGAGATTCCAGCAAAAGGAGCACATAAGAAACGTCGCGAGGGAAATCGGAGATGTCAGGTGGAAGTCCCATAAAATAAACTTCTACCAGGATTTCTCAAAGGCAACGCAAGATCGGCGACGCTCCTTTTTGGAATGTAAACGGCTACTTCACTCGGCTAAGATCCCGTTTGGCATCGGATACCCTGCTGTACTGTCCTTCACTGCACCCAGTGGGGCTAAGCACCGCTTTGACGACCCGAAGAAGGCTATGCAGTGCATCAGAACTTTATAAACTTATAAGTGTTATCATGGACAGCGGACTGTGTCTTAGTAAACTGATTATTTATGTTCTTACGTTACTTGCCCACATTTTTATTTTTCTCTTGATTATTTGATGTTGTGATGGATCTTTTGCATGTGTTCTGATGACTCACTACGCTGACACGTTGCTCAGCAGTTCGTTAGATCATTGTCTAGCAATTAACAGATATCACCTGTTCTAATGGTTGGTGATGGTGCTGCCCCTCTTAGGCAGTTAGAGTTCCCAGATTTGAGTTATTTGTCCAGTTAGGGA